CAGACAGACAGACAGTACAGACAGACAGACAGACAGACAGACCAGAAATACGACACACAGCCGACTATACGTACAGAAATGGAGAGTGTGAGAGAGAAAGAAAGGCAGAAGAGATAGGAAGAGACGGGAGAATGGGGGAAGGAGAGACAGAAAAAGCAGACAAAAAAAGAAAGGCAAGGAGAAAGAGGAGAAAATTGGGAAGGGGTAAGGGTAAGATTGCAAAATTACAGTCAGGAAAATAAACAGGGAAAAGAGGACAGGAAAAGCGCGTGCAGAGAGACAGAGAAGAGTGAGAGAACGAGGGGCGGGTAGGAGGAAAGAGAGGAGGAGAAGTATGAGCGCAGGGAGGGCGAGGGGAGAGACAGGCGCGAGAAAGAGGAGAGAGAGAGAGAGGAGAGAGAGAGAGAGAGAAAGAGAGAGAGAAAGAGAGAAGGAGAGAGAGCGCTGGTAAGATGAGAGAGAGAGGCGCGCGCACGGCATGAGGCGACGAGGGGGGGGGTGGGTAAGAGAGAGAGAGAGAGAGAGAGAGAAGAGAGAGTGGAGAGAGAGAGAGAGAGAGGAGAGAGAGAGAGAGAGAGAGAGAGAGAGAGAGAGAGAGAGAGAGAGAGAGAGAGAGAGAGATGACAATTCTCGTTCGCATAATTGGAACGTCGGAATCAGATACGAGTGCGCGCATATTGATGTCCTACTCATCACGGACGCCGGCTAGCGAACAATCGGATACGTAACCTGCACCGGATTCCCGGATGACGTCACCACCGGCCTAGCCTCGCAGAGCCTCGCATTCGTTTACCGCGTCACGTGACCGTCAGTGCAATTATATCGCACCGATCGACGGCGGCTAATCACGCGTGTGCTATTTTGCACGTAGGTTAGCGGACCGATGTTTATATATTTTTACGGGCCGAACGTAAATAATTTAGGCGTGTGTTTTTTCTTCGCTTGCCCCGAGTACGGTGGGTTTTTTTTTTCTTAAACAAATCGATTTGTGTAATTTCGTCAGAGCTGTAGGCCGAGCGATGCCACGTCGTCAAACGAATCCGTCCGACAATATAATCAGAAATCAGCGTGGCGCTGTTGCTGCTGCTATTGCTACTACTGCTACTACTGCTAGCTGACTGCTAGAGCTGCTGCTTTGCTGATGCTCCTCCTGCTGGCTGCTGCTATTGCCTGAGCTCCTCCTCCTGAATGCTTGCTGCTGCTACTACTATTGCTATTGCTGCTTGCTGCTCGCATGCCTGCTGCTGCTGCTGGCTGCTGCTATTGCTGCTAGCTAAAGCTACTGCTGGGCTGATGGCTCCTCCTCCTCCTGCTGCGTGCTTGCTAGCTACTATGCTATTGCTGCTGGGCTGCTCCTCCTGCTGCTGCTTGCTGCTAGGCTGCTACAAAACTACTGCTATGCTGCTGCTGGGCTCGCTCCTGCTGGCTGCTGCGCTGGCTGCTGCTGCTACTACTGCTAGCTGCTGATGATGCTCGCTCCTGCTGCTGCTGCTGCCTGCTGCTGCTGAGGGCGGCTGCTGGCGCTACTGCTGCTAGCTACTGCATATTGCTGCTTCACCGCCTGCTGCTGCATGCTCGCTCGCTGCCTGCGCCGCTGCTGCTGCCTACACTGTCAGTGCTAGCTGCTACTGCTGTGCTAACTGTTTGCATGCTAACTAATATTGTTACTTAATCGCGAGTGCGCGCCAGTTCCGTGTGTATGTGTGTGTGTGTGTGTGTGTGTTGCTGGTGTGTTGTGTGTGTATGTGCTGTCGTGTGTGTGGCTCGTGTCGTGCTGGTGTGTGTGTGTGTGTGTGTGTGTGTGTGTGTGTGTGTGTGTGTGTGTGTGTGTGTGTGTGTGTGTGTGTGTGTGTGTGTGTGTGTGTGTGTGTGTGTGTGTGTGTGTGAGTGTGTGTGTGTAAACGAAAGGACGTTAACCTCCGATCCAACGCGTAAGAATCCCTATGCTGTCCGCTTCGCATTATCGCACTTCACATAGATGCCCCGTCGGACCGCATGACAGTTAACGATGACATCTTTCATTTAGTTATCTCCGATGGGGCAGTCAGTCAGCAGGAACCAGCTGCATCAAGTTTATTATCACACGGCGTGAACAGTAGACGTCGTAGTCAATGGCGCTTCCAGTTGCATTATGACATGGGTGTTCAATGGTAGGTACGGTAGCAGTAGTAGCGTGCGCTCAATCACTCACAATCATGCATTTTACAACGATGCCCGAACAATGGTACTCAATAGATTATTGATGCACCGCTGCTGCTGCCATACAGAAAAAAAAATCGCCCTTGCTGTAATTTTTATTTCCGAAAACTTTGGGTGAATATACGGTAATTTCTTGCGTCTTGTCTAAAAATCATGACGCTGTAATCTGTAAGGGCTCGTATATAGGTCCCTGTGTGGCCGTGTATCATTAGTTTAATGATATGTGCGTCGTTTGGTGTCTCCCATCACAGAAGGCCTTTGACCCGTGGAGCAATCGAATAATCGACCTGTTAAAGCAACTTTTTACACCGGCAAACTTTAATTATACATCAAATTTTATTGACGGCTTTACTTATTTGTAGACATATGTGTTGGCGTGACGTTAATGGGAAACGAAAAAGATCACGCTATGCGACTGACCGCCCAAGATATGAAAAAAACACGACAGCGCATGTTAAATTAAAGATGAATCCGGCTCCCCCCCCTATACTACACCGATATGTCGCAAATCCATGAGCATTCCATCGGTGACGTCATCACGATGCATGCGATTACCTCCATTAATAGACAGACAAGTATTCCGTGATTTTTGTTTGTATCAGATATTGAATACATCACTAGAATGAACAAAGATGAGTATGCGTGCGCGGAACGTCACGTGAGAACAATCTGCCGTGTCATTGTGTCATTAAAGTTGGCCTCGGCACATCGATCTCTCCGTGTAGACATTAAACATTCAGTGTAAACCCCAACGACTACAAACCTATCGCATATACTCGCGCAAAAACACACGCACGCACGCACGCACGCACGCACGCACGTACACGCACACGCACCTTGACCCCGCATAACCCTGCCTGGCCCAGTCTGACCCCGCCTGACCCAGTCTGACCCCGCATAACCCTGCCTGACCCAGCATTACCCTGCCTCACCCTGCCTCACCCCGTCTGATCGTGTCCGACCATGCATGACCCCGTCTGACCCAGCAGCGGCGGCTGTGCTCGCGTGCGCGCGCGCGCGTGTGTGTGTGTGTGGTGTAATCATTTTTAATTAATTTCTTTCTCTCTCTCTCTCTCTCTCTCTCTCCCCCCCCCCCCCCCCCTCCCTCTCTTTCTTTCTCTCTCTCTCCCTCTTTCCTCCCCCTCCTCG